TTGCAAACTGTTTTCATTGTAGGTAAAGAGAGAAATTATGCATCTTAAAATGGCAAATGAATTTGTGGACTAAGACAGGCATTAGTAAGTTCTTCAGTCATCTAGACGTGTGATTATAGTAAGCGCAGATAAACGGTGGCTTTTGTGCACGTATTGGTTGTAGAGAGAGATGCAGAGATTGTGGTATTTAGCTGGCATTAGTTGGCTGAAGTCAGCTTTGCCTTTGCTGTCTCTCAGCAATTGGATATGGGTTTTTTTAGCTAAGCAGTGATAAGTGCTATGTTGCAGTGTGTGTAGTACAGAAGAATGCTTCAGCACTGCACAAGCAGATACTGGTAGTCTGTATATGCGTACTGTGGCTTTGTAAAAAGGATTTTCATGTAGGGAGCCGAGCCTGGCACTGCCAGCTCTCTTAGTCTCTGTCCCACGCCTGTCGGGTGGGGCGGCAGCCAAGTCTTTGCTGGCTCCAGGTACTGTTGCTTCTATCTCATGTGCAGGGATCCTAGTTTTCTCTGATTTAAAAAAAAAAAATCCCCAATTTTTGGATTTAAAAAAGTAACCCAAAACCCACATTTTTCCATTTTTCTGCTCCAAAGCAGTTGGTTTAATTAGTTTGCTATTTTTACTTCTAGGCTCAACAGAGGTTTAGGTGAAGATGAGCAATTGCCAGCTATCAGAGCCAGCCTTTGGGATACTCATGTCTGCAGCCTCTAGCCGTCTCCTATTTGGGGATTTACAAATGTAGAGGAGCGGCTCAGCTTTCATTTGGAAAGGAAAGGGAAGTCTGGAATTCTTGACTCTCTGTAAGAAAGCTGATTGTGAGAGCTGATGATGACTGACTATTAGACCAGTTTCTGATTGTCATGGTCTGTCTTTTCTCCCTCTCCTCCTTATAGTCATTCTGGGCAGGCAGTCCTTAACATCTGTGTAAATAGTGGCCAGTGATATTACCCCTCCTCCCCCCTCCCCGTTTTGGGAAGGACCCTGGGTGGGCCAATGACAGCATTGGAGGTTGCTATCGGCTCTTTCTTCCTTCACCTGAATTCAAGCTTTTCTGGCCAAAAGAAGAGATAGCTAAGTAACATGAGACAGTTCTGCCACGGGCTAAGCATGGCACTGAGGACAAGGGGCTCTTGTGCTCTAATCCCATCTGTGCCCTTGGTCAGAGTCACTTAATCTTTTTAGTTTCCTCACCTGTAAATTGGAGATAGATAGTTACTTACAGTGAGGTCAGGAGGAGGGAATGTGCGAATGACTAGTCACAAATCGCAAAACCAGAAGGACTTGTATGATTACCTAATCTCCATCACATAACACTGGCATAGAATTTCACCCAAAGACTATTGCGTGAGAGAGGGAGGGGGGGGGGGGGGGGGGGGTGTTATTCTTTCCTCTTCTGAAAATGAAGGTTGTCTAGCTTGAGTTATTGCCTAGTCACAGTGTGCAAAGTCCTATGTTAGTGTATGTTACATCGGCATTTGGAGGCAGCCTGTCTTGGACAGCACTTTCTTGCAGAATTTATTTAATAGTTAGTTCTGCACAGACCCGCAGAGCAGGCCAGAGCAGGGGCTGACAAGTGCCTGACGAGGTTGACCTGCCCCGGTTTGTTTGTTTTTTTTAAATAATGTAGGTGACATCCTCCAGTTGCCTTGCTATCTTTTTTGAAATCCTCAGGTTCAACTTTTTCTTAAGCTCAGCATTGCCAACAGTGAGGCCAAATGACCCAAATCTTTTTGGAAGCATGTTTGTGTGTTGATGCCAGGCTCCCAAGCTTGGAATCGGCAACATGTGATTCGAACAGTCCTGACATTTATGGAAAGGCTTTCTGTTCCAATCCTTCAGCTGTCAGCTAGTGTATGTAATTAACTTAGTATAATTTAGTTTCGGGATGAAATATTCATTTTAGAGAGGTTATAAACAACTGATGTTTTCACTCTCTGAGTAGCTAATGATGGTTTATGCTGTACAGAATGAGGCATACATTTATTGTTTGAGAGAGAAATTGGTTTCATTGCAACTCCTGTTTCTTACTGTGGAATACAGAGAGTCCCATGGGCTTTTCCTATCATTTATTTCCCTGATCTCTTAAGTAATACAGCTGTGAAATCTGCTGACTAGTGTTAGCAGTCGAGACAGTATTTTCATATTGCTTGATCTCGGCAGGCTGTAACACCAGGTCACCTAGTTATTCTGCAGGGAAGCCGTTTGAGTGAAATAATAAAGCTAATTATCAGACAAAGGGACAAAAGTGATTTTTTTTCCTTGCAGAACTTGTTTACGATGCACAGTTCTGCACAGAGCCACAGTGCAGGCTCCGGAGCAGGGTGCTGGCAGGTACCTGGAGAAGACCTGCCCCATCTTTCTTCTAATGATTTGGGTTTGACATCCTCCAATTGCCTTGCTAATATTCTGTGAAATTCTTAGGCCAGACTTTTTTTTTCTACCTGAGATTTGAAGGAAGGAAAGTTGAGGCAGTAATAAGACAGCTGGAATGTAAAAGCCTCTCATTCCTACCACCAGTGGTGGGGTATGTGGATTTAGGAGGGATGGTCCTTCATATGAGCTGCAGAGAGCTTATGTTGTGAGGGGGAGTTAAAATCAAGAGCAGGATCTAGAATGAATGGGAGTCCTAGAAAGTGAGTGACCTAAGGGTCACAGTAATGTAGAATTGTCCCCATCCAGATGTTCATCCCTGTTCTTTGTGGAGCCATTGCACATCAGGATCTCAAGGCTCCAGAATGCTGAGACTAGATTTCCTTCAAGACTTGTGCTGAAGTGTCTCATTTAGTGAGTCATCCTAATCAGGGGCTTTGACTCCTGATAAAGCAAAAGAGTGAAAGAAATGAGCTTGTCTCAAAGTCCAGATTGAGTTGGCAAGTGTGGCATTTGGAAGAAGCATTTTTTAATTTGTAAAGTGAAAATGCATGACATGGAATCAGGGCATCACACTGAACTCATGCTATCCATTTTCTTTCTGTCTCAGTGTGGGATGAGATTGAGGATAGAAATATTTGCCAGTTGAGTAATATTTAGTTTTCCTGGTTCTACCTGGTTGCTTTGCTGTTCTAAACACTTCCATAAGCAATGGAGAAGTAGAATGGGATGCCATGTCTACTTTAATCAGTGAGACTGTAGGTCTGGATGGGGACCCCAGCAGTCAGTTTATTGTTGTGTTGTGTGGGGAGCCAGGACGATTCCTTTGTAGTCAGGCTTTTCACGTAGATGAAATAAGATGACTTTAAATCAGAACAATTTTAGCTTGGTTATCAGAATAACAACTGGAGCTGGATGGGAGAAATTGTGGAGGAAGAAAAAGCATCTACTTGCAGTAAGCGAGATAATCTTTTTGTAATTTGCTGCATCCTTCAGTCAGTGGGGAGACCGTTTATGCAGATTTCTGTTCCGTCGTCAGGAATTTACTGGCATCTTTAGTGATGCTGTGTACCTTAACGTGTAGCAAGAGTAGCAAATGGATAGAACTTAGCACTATTTTTTTCTGTCCTTTTTTTCCCCCCAAGGCTACAATGAAGCGGTCTCACAACCTGCCATTGGTAACATCCAGAGACACAAACAGAAAGGTTAGGCATGTTAAACCAGAAGAGGGTTGCCCCTTTGCTATGCTGGGTTCCTGCTGCTTACCTAGAGCAGCTTCTGCAGGAAGGCTGTTAAAACAATCAGAGACTCAAGCTCCAGATGGAGATGCTGGGGACTGAACCTCACACCTCTACATGCAAAATGTGTGCTACGCCCCTCACCTTTCATGTTCTTTATGTTAAAAAGAGATGATAAAAGAGAATTTCACTTATTTTGCTTTCTTTGTAGTCAGATCTAATAGTAAAAGATGTTGGATTCTGAATATGATGGTTCCGTAGAGAGATGGACGTATTGTGATGCATGCTTTGCTCTGGCTTGCTCTCCAGTGAGAGCCTTGCAGCAAGCATGGTTCAGTATCCTTCTGTACCCTTGTTGAAGTCTAGCCAGAGGGGGGCACGTTCCACAGAGTTAGCAAATCTTTGGGCAGATTCCAAGATGTCAGGATGCTGAATCACTTACTGTCTTGGGTTAGCTTACCATAATCATATGAAAATGTGTATTAATTGGGGATTTATATGTAAATTGGGTATATCTGTCATACATCTGTATAGACCTAAAGCAGCTTTGCACTCTTAGGTAGCGGGACACAAGTGCAGAGCAACTTGTTATTACAGACTTGCATTTTGTGCAGTGTTCTTTCACCTTTATAGGTACCATGGCTTAAAAACTGGTCTAGTAGAAGCTTTGCAGCAGCTATCAATGACCTCTTGTGTAGAACAGTCTGCTTTGCTTCAAGGATTATCACATGAGATGATTTCCTCCTTCTGAAGATGCCCAATTTAATAAAATGACAGACATGCTATTGTTTCATTGCAAGTTTTAGTATTTTTCTCACTGCCAGAGGAATAGACTTGTACTTTAATCGGATCTTTCCCGTTCTTTTTTTCTATTAAGGGACCCTGCATTCCAATAAATGTCTTGTGGTGAGGATAAAGATTTGTCTTAGAATATGACAAAGTGCGTGCTTACTCTCTGGGCCATCTGCCTTACAAATCGTGGGAAGCTATAGACCTCTGGTTGAGAATGCCTGCTGTTACAAGAAGAGGCAGCTGGCACTATATATTGACACAACACTAATTCTTACTCTTTTCATTAAACTAACTCTTACTTTTTCATTAAGTCTTTAGCTCTGTTATCTTGTTTCCTTTGATGCCTGGAGTATATGGTATCTGGCAGAACGCAGCACAGGTTCAATGATCTTGGACAAGTGTATGCATCGTGATGAACTGCCGTGATTTTTCACATGGAGAGCATTGTTAATGAAGCGAAAGTGTGTTCTGAGACAGGGCTTCATTGAACATAGTTGAATAAATCTTGCTGTGCTTTAAATGAGCTATATCAAAGTATGTGTGTAGAGTATGCACTTATCGTGTCTGAAAGATTTGGTTGTTTTTCTCCTCTTACAGGTCTTTGCAGGAGCAGACATCTGAAGCAGGAGGGCCTTTCCACGCCTCTCCAGAGACCTTCCCTGGCTTGTCTTTGGCAACTCATTTTTTGGTGAACAGAAGACTGTAGAAGAATGAGGCAACTAAAAGGAAAACCCAAAAAGGAAACCTCCAAAGATAAAAAGGAGAGAAAGCAGGCAATGCAAGAAGCCCGACAGCAAATCACCACTGTCGTGCTTCCCACGCTGGCTGTTGTGGTGCTTCTAATTGTGGTGTTTGTTTATGTGGCAACTCGCCCAAATACAACTGAATGATGCAGCTTTTAAAACTCTCTAACTTTGGGTATTGATACTCATCCTTCATAAAAAGCCAAAAAACCTTCTTCCAATCTCCTACTTTTTTAATATTTTACAAAGGAACCTGCTGTCATCTTAAGTCTTTTTCTTGATTAGAGTCCTACAGTTTCTCTTTAGGAATGTAACATAAAACGTATTAGTAAATGTGCCAGTACGTTTTATGGTCTAATTCACGTGCCTTTCAGACTTTTAAAATGGTGTTTTTCTTAAATCTGTTTGAAGTTCTATATTGTAAAAGAAAATGCTGTTGTGCTTTAAATTTGTATAAATCAGCTTTCATCTCTTATCACTGTTATCTGTAATGTTGATCCCCCAAGTTCTTGTATGTCTATTTCACAACTTCCAAAGCAGTACTTTTCTTCTTTGTGCTTAATGTCATTTGAAATACTCTGAATCAAAAAAAGATATTTATTTTTGGAATAAAGGAGATAAATCTTACTTAAAATCTCCATCTTATTTTACCAAAAAAGTGGCTCTATTGTGAAACAAACGCTACATTTTTTATTAAATGCTACAGAGAGCACTTACAGAGATTTCTTCTTGCCATGAGGCTTGAACATTCAAAGTGAATAATTTAAGATCTACCAGAAGGGTCTTGCAGAAGTCGGAGAGATTCTGCTGGTTTGTCATGATAAATAGCTAATAGGAAATGATAGAAACACAAATAGTTGTTTATACGAATATTAAATATTTAAATGTTTGTAAGCAGTAGCAATGAAGAGGCTGGTCTAGACAGAGCCCTTGAATTTCTGAAGAAAATATGGAATAATGTAAATAAGGCTTCCAAGTACTTTATTCAAATGTGAACTATCCTTATAAAGATTCCCAATTTTTAAGAAGCTATTGACATGAAAGCAATTGCCATGTCTGTTTAAGAACCCAACATCAAACTGTAACAGTTGCACTCTTGGAAATTGTATATAAATAACTGCCCCCCCAAGATGTCAGTGTAATCTTGCACTGTAATTCTGTGCACCTGTTCACCCAAAACTCTCAAAGCACTTGGCAGCCAATAAATCGGAGTACTTTGGGGGAGGTATTTTTTAGGGGTGCACCGTTAGAGCTTTTTGGGCCAATACCGATAGCTGATTTTTAACGAGTCGTATTGGCTGATACCGATCGGATTGCTGATATGCAGCCAGGCAGCTTGGAGCACAGCCTCCGGTTGATATGTCTGATGTGGGGGAAGAGGCAGGGGGGAGGTAAGGGCATGGGGGGGTGCAGATTGAAGCCCTCATGGTGAGGGAGGGAGTGGGGCTGGGGCAGGGGCAGGTGCTGCCCATCCAGAGCAGAGTGCGGCACTGGATGGAGACATGAGTGGAGGGGGTGGCTCCCACGGCTACACACACCCCAGGAGGACATGGGGGAGGAGGGTGTGCCCCTGGATCTGCGCGGGGCAAGGGCGGGCTGCCACTGTGGGCTGGGGCCAGTGCCAGACTCTTCCTGGCAGGGGACTGTGCTTGTGGCAGTCAGTGGCAGTGCTGGAAGCAGGGCTACAGTGAATTTGGGGGAGGCTGCAGCCCCTGTCCCCCCACACCCTGTAGTTCCCCTCCCAGCACCACTACCGTCCGCCTCGAGCACAGCCCTTGCTCAGCCCCCTGCCAGGAAGAGTATGGTGCTGCCCTGGCCCCAGCCCACAGTGGCAGCCCACCATTGCCCTGCGCACATTTGGGGGCACACATCCCCTTGTGCCCTCCCAAGGTGTATGTAGCGGTGGGAGCCGCCCCCCAGATGAGCCACTCATGGCTCCGTCCCATGCCTTGCCCCTCCCCGGCTGGGTAGCCCCAGCCCCACTCCTTCCCTCACTGCGGGGGCCTCGATCTGCCCCCCACGTGCCCCTCCCCCCTGCTTCCCCCACAACAGACTTACCAGCCACACATGACTGCTCTCCATGCTGCTGGGCTGTGCTCCTGGCCCCTTGCGTGCAGTGCTGCAGTTGCGCACATGCACAGGGCATTTATTGGCAACATTATCGGCCACATAAGCCAAAAAAAGGCTGATTACTGATAATGTTAATTTTCCTTATATTGGTGCTGACCCGATGTAGGACTGATGTATCAGTGCACCTCTAGTAATTTTAGGTGTTGACAGCCTAGAGGCCAAGTTTCAGGCCATAGCGAAAGTGCTTATGGTGCGGCCCTGTCATATTCCAACGAATCTGCAAATTCTGCTAAGTGCTTTGTCACAAGGACATGAAAAGGAAGGAAAGACACAATAGTTCAGTGCAGGAAGTGAGAAAACTCCATACTGTGCAGACTATCCAGCACGTGAATAGTCCCACTGAAGCCAGGGGGCTAATGTCATGATTGGGTTGGCAAGTTTCAGGATCTTTACTTTCTATCTAGCAACCCCAGTCACCAGGCAAGAGGCCAGCTAACAGGGGAGTTTGCTGTGGGTATTTCCTTCATTTTTGTTTTAGCCCTTACTCACTTGTAAGCTTGCTGAGCACCAGCTGGTAAGGTAGAGGGAAGGAATGTATAGGTGCTAATAGAAGAATGAGTGAGATGACTGAATGATGTCACAACACATATGCCACCACAACTGCCAGCTCTTCCTTTGCCTATTTCTGTGCAGGTTCTGATCAGGGAGTGCCACTGACCTCTAAGCTAAGGCTTAGCCAGGTCTTCGTCTGGCTTTGTGGGGAATGCAGCTTATGTGTTCCTGCCAGAAACAGCCAGGCTTCTGGTGTGGAGGTGCCTCCTGGTAGGTTCTCTCAGGAACTAGGCAGAGGAGCTGCTGGAGCATGTGTGAACACAAGGACTTGGTCAACATGATGTACAAGGAGACTTCCAGGATTGTGAAAAAGGGCCAACCAGAGAAGCTACTGGAGAGCAAGGAAGACTTGGATGCTCAGGAAGGGTCATGGATGTGTATAATTTTTCATGAAGAACAAGCAGGAGAGGGAAAAAAGGAGGTAGCATTGCTCTATCTATGTAAGATATGTATTCTCATTTTAAGCTGCTGTATGAAGTGAGAGGGTAAGCTGGTTGAAAGTTCCCAAGTCAAGGTAAGAGGGGAGAATAACAAGACTGATGTCTTTGTGGGTGTCTGTTCTAGATCACCAAATCCGGGGGAGGAGGTTTATAAAGCCTTTTTTTTTTTCTTTTAAACAGCTAACAGAAGTATCCAAATTGCAGGACGTAACGTTAATGGGGAACTTTAATGTGACATCTGGTGAGAGGATAACACAGCAGCATGCAGGCAACCTACTGATTTTTCTGGAATGAGTTGGGGATAAGGGGATAATGTTTTGCTGCAGATGAAGGAGAAATCAACAAGGAAGACAGTTCTCAGTTTGATGATTACAAACAGGGAGGAATTTGTTGAGATTGTGGCAGTGGAAGGCAATTTGGGTGACACTGAGCATGAACTGATATAATTCAAGATCCTAAGGAAAGGAAGGAAGAAAGAGAGGAGCAGAATAAAGACATTGGACTTGAAGAAAGCAGACTTCCACAAACTGAGGCAACTGGTGGGCACAATCCCTTGAGAGGCAAGTTTGAAGGGGAAAAGAGTCCAGGAGAGATGGTTGTACTTTAAGGACGCCATATTCAAACCATAAAACCAGGCTATCTTAGTGCAAAGAAAAGATAAGAAGTGCAGTAGGATACTATCCTGGCTAAGCAGCAAATTCTTTAATGAGCTGAAACTCAAAAAGGAGTCCCACAAAAAGTGGAAATGTCATTACTTGGAAGAAGCATATGAATATTGCACAGGCATGCAGGGAGAAACTTAAGAAGGCCAAGGAACAAATTTAGATGTAGCTAGCAAGGGAAGCAAAAGGCAACAAAAAAGCAGTCTATGTGCAAGAAGAGGAAGGCCAAGGAAAGTGCAGGTCCCTTACTGAGCACAGAGAGAAATTTAATTCCAGATGATGTGGATGATGATGTGTTAATGCCTTTTTTAGTTCAGTCTTTACAAAGAGTGTTACCATATGATGACCCCAGATGATAGCAGGTATAGGGGAGGAGAAAGCAGCCTAGACTAGTATGGAAGAACAGGTTGGGGATTACTTTGAGAAGCTGTATTTTTTCAAGTCATCCTGAAGCAATTGACTGAGGTAATTGCAGAACCATTGGCTAGTGTCTTTGGGTATGTCTGGCCATCAGGAGCAGTTCACTTCAGGGCTGCTCCTATCCTGCTCTGCTGCCCTGCACCAGCCAGGGGGAGCTCCAGGTGCCAGCCTGGAGCTGGCGGGGGTTGGGGCTAGTCCTGATTGCCATGTGACTGCCTGGACAACTGTCACAGTCACATGGAGATCGGGTCTTAACCTGATCTTCATGTGGCTGGGATGCAGCAGTCCTGGCAGCAGGGATCGTTCTGGCCATGTGGCAATTAAGTCCTGACCCCCACGTGGTGGGATGAGAGCTGCCCCTGCAGCTGGCACAGTTCCCATCCCTGTATGGGGCTTTGCCAGGCAGCAGTGGGCCTCCCTCAGCATAATTTTTCCTGCCGGGCTCTCACAAATGTGAGCCTTGATAATTTTTTTAAAGACTTTGCCAAGGATGGAGGTGAGACTGACTGGCCTATAGTTGCCTGGGTCCTCCTTCCTCCCCTTCTTGAAAATGGGGACCACGCTGGCCC